TGACTTGTAGATCCGATCGTTTTTGATCGGATCCGCGCCGGATCTCATCGGAATCCGGCTACTTCCATAAAAAAACGATCGTATCCGTCAAGGTTTTTGCTCGATTCGTATGCTGCAGATTCCGGCCTTAGTTTCAGTGTAATTCGACAGAATACGATTAAATCTGGGTCGGATATGGCCGGATTTCATCTGGTTTCTGTTGAATTCTGATGAAGTCCGTGTCGGAATTCTGTACATGGGAATTCGAAAAAAATATTGTCGGATCCGACTGAAATTATTCTCAAACGACAACATCTGAGTGGGATCGTTTAACATGAGATACTGTTTATCAATCTCTACCATCTCTCAAACAAGGAGCTTAATCCGAGCAAAACCAAGTCATTCATAGCATAAGGGTGTGGGTGTGGGTGTGGGTGTGGGTGTGGGTGTGGGTGTGGGTGTGGGTGTGGGTGAGGGTGAGGGTGTGGGTGTGGGTGTGGGTTTTAGTCGTGTCTTTCCCACATCCACCCTTTTCAGTCATTAACATGTCGACAAAGAAACTGTTAGATTTTTTTGTTGCTCTCTCTCCTCCTCTCTTGTGTCATTATTTGCTAAATCTCTTAAACAAATAAAAATATTTCATTAAAAAATATTACAATCTTATACAACTTCTTTCCAATCATCGATAGGGTAAAAACACATATCAATAGATATTGTTGCTGTTGTGTGCGAAAAACATACATGGCCGTTTGTTTATTGGATTTTTCTTAGATATAAAACAAAGAAAGGGACGAAAAAACAGAGTATAAAAGTACTGTGAATAGATTGTTTTATCAGAATAGCTTACTTTGTAGATACGTAGAAACATGGCCAGTAACAACTGGAATCAAAATGACAATAGGTTCAACTTTCGGCCACAATCGGGAAATAATCGTAATACCTCATTCTCAAGAGAATCTAATGGAGATAGAAGATCATATAATTATTCTTCCGCCGACAATTACAATTACTCTGGAGGATGGCTCGGGCAATATTCTCGAAATTCAAACTATGATGAATACGACTATGTAGGTAATCGCTCTTCATCATCGCAGCCGAAAGCTAATGATGATGAGACGTCAATGTATGCTATTAATCTCCAGTTGAAACCCGTGGAAATGGGTATTGTAGGAAAATATAAGTCATGGCAACAGGAATTCAAAGGCTTAGGTGCATTTAATCATTATTTTGGCTTATTATATCCATTTAAAGGTGTCGGCTATACACTTCCTGATATTTGGGATGGTTATTTTCACATAACACTTGCCAGATTCTATAGTTCTCTTGCACCTCATCAACTAGATGAGATTTTCAGCAAGTTTTCTCCTTCTATTGAAGACCTACCTTACATCCCTGATGTTGTGTTTCGAGCATCAAGTATTAGTACCAGTTCAGGTGCAAATCGTGCCATAGGCCGAAAAGCTATCAACTTCGTCGTACTTCCTATTGATCTGTCTCCTGAAATAGAATCATTTTATGATAAAATTCAACCATTACTAAAAAGTATTATAGAACAAGCAAAGGCAATTAAACCAAATGTAACAAAAAAAGACGAACTTCATTTAACTATACGCAAATATTCGAACGTTAGTTTTAAGTTAGAAAATATTAATATACAACAATTTCCACTTGAATTTCGATGTTCTCATCTCGAAGTCAAACAGACGCGTGAACAGGCAGTAGATCGATCCACAAATGCGAAAAACAGTACTTATAGATGGTGGACTGGTGCGACTGAAAACAAAGGAAAATGCTCAAGTTGCTCTACACCTATAAAATCTGGCAGGTGGGAAGGTTTTTGTCTTGCATGTGGAAAATATGAGTCAATTATTCCATTTTGGTCAACAGATGGCAAAAATATAAATCACTTATTATATGATGGCATAAAACAACAAGAATGTGTTAATGAATCAAAGACCATGAATATGATGAAAAAAAGTGGTTATGAAGAAGGACAAGGTTTAGGTAATCATAATCAAGGACGATCAACACCCGTGGAGACAATTCTACATGATGATCATCTTGGTTTAAATCATCATTTCAGAATACTATCTGTTGAACCTGATTCAGGTATCAAACTACCTCCAGGTTGGACAAAAGAATGGAGTAAAAAAGAAGAACGACACTATTATTTTAATATAAATACACGTGAATCTCGTTGGGAACCACCAAATTAACAAATACTATTTTATCATTTATTTGAAGACTTTATTTTTCTTTTAATCAATGTTGTCTGTATCCTACTAAATAAAACTCCTTGAAAAATAAAAAGCTCTCTAATAAATTATAGTTTTTACAGAAAAGTTTTCAATTAAAAAAATTGTAATACACAGTTTGTATGTATCTTTATTTAGTTTTGTTTGATAATGAAATGTCGATAAAAGTTTATCTTTTCAGAAATAAGGGTGGATGTAG